GGGATTTTTTCCTCGTGAGTAGGGGACCCACTGAATCAAGGGAAAAATGGTGTAAGGACTCCTCCTCCTTTAAGAAAGGAGCGGCAGTAACAGCATGGATGAACTGACCTGCACTCCCCCATTCCCTGTCCCCCTGCGCCGCTGGGGGGGGGGGGAGAGCCAGGAACGAAAGGAAAGGGGGGTGGGGAGGTTGTTGTGTTTAAGATCTGGCCTTGTTTTCTCTTTTTTCCTCTCAAGTAACCGGTTTCGTTCCCTTTTGTCTCTTGTTAAGTAACTGTTAATAAATTGTTTTGTTTTAAGAAAAAGCCTGAGTCATGTTTTGCCCGGGACCATGGTTGGTGGGTGCTCCCTCTTGGTTCTTGTCTCGACCCTCAGTTCCTTTTATTATAAAACCACGACATTGAGTATGAGCAGTGAGGAGGATGCTGTTACATAGACCCACAGCAAACCCTTAATCCCAATGAGCTGAGTTTCTCACCATCTTCCTCAACAGCTCCCATCATCTTTACCCTGCAGGCACCCACTTGTCAGGACTTCTTGTTAGGTGAAAGTTTGGTGCTGTCCAAGCAATTTGGATAATTGGCTTTGTGTTAATAACTGTTGTAGCCAAGCTATGGGATTATTGCTATTGAAGGGAACCGGAATGAAAACTGATGAAGTCTGCTGTCCACAGTACAAGCACTTAGCAAAATCACAGGCTACTCCTGCAAGTACACCTCTCCATGCTGGGAAAGGGTGGGAATGAAAACCTTTCTTGAAATCAAGCTCGTTTCCAGTTTTGCCTCTCCTGCCTCTTTATTTAAGAATCACATTACAGTCATGCTTGTTGAGTCAGCTGCATTCATGGTAAGGGTCGTGGGTGAGCTGAAGTACATGACTCTGTATTTGCACACACAATTTTCAACCCCTGAGTTGAACAAAAATCCTTAAATAACCTATGCCTTCAGATAAAGTCAACAAAAAACATCTTAAAAACGACTGTCATCCAAGGGTGAAGACTGTCCTGAAGATACTGAAGTGACTGTAGGTGTTAAACTCCCAGTGGCCTTCACAGGGGGAAAACTCTTGTCTTTGAGCACCTTCTGCTCTATCCTTTGCTCTTGATGAGCGCCTGCTGCTTGGAGCGACAGAGTGAAGGGATAATCCTGGCTGGATGTACATCAGGAGTTAACTCTAGTAAATGACATCTGCAGAGACGGGGCAAGCAAGGTCAGCATTGGCATGCGCTGTAGCAAACCTGGGAGCCATACCCAGTGAGACACTCCACCTCTCTGTCTAGTCACTTAAATACCTTTTAGAGACCATAAGAGTCTGTTGCTGTGTCCCTTTGCTCTCAGGTGGCTCTTCTGCTGCCAGTTATGACCATGCTTTCAGTCATGTGGGCACCTGACAATAAGAAACTGAGCAGAAACCATCATCTGGGCAGCTTGACACTTTTCAGATGATAAATGGCTCTCGTTTGCTGCTTGTCTTGATCCTATTCGAAGCCTGAATTCTCCAGATGTCCCTTTCTTGAAAGAGAAGGCAGTACTAGTAATATTCTCTCTCCTTTCTTTTCTCCTTTCCATTGTCTTCATCAACAGTTTGATTACTACAACTCCCTCCTGATTAACGAGAAGGATGAAAATGACAACTATGTGGAGCTTGGAGATGAATTCATTTTGGAGCCAAATGAGCATTTCAATAACCTGCTGGTGAACACAACATACAGTGATATTCAGCTCCCCACCAATGTCTACAACAAAGGTAATGGCCTCTACTGGCTTCTACTTTCTCACTACTAGTAGGTTGCTGTTGAAACTACCAGCAATAATACAAAAGAAAGGATGGGAATAGAAAAAAAAAACAACTGACAGGATAGAAAATAAGGCTGGAAAGGTACTGTTCCAAGGCACAGTCATGCCTGTGCTGTAGTCTGTCACTGTGACAGGGCTTAGGTATCATCTACTCTTGGAAAACATCTAATGATGGACAGACAGCATAGTGTCCTAGGGTTCATATACCCGACCAAAGATGCTGTGAAACAAACTGTGATGGGAATTTATTGGCAATTGTTACTCTGTGCAAAGGGTCAGATCTATCAAGGTCTTTAGGTGTTAAGGACTTCATTGATTTCAGATGAGAATTTAGAGCTTAAGTACCTTTGCGTTATGAGGCACTAACACCTCACAGGGACATTCTTAATTCCCAATGAACACGTGTAGGGGACTGGGAGTAATTCACAACTGATACTGGGATGTGACTGTTCTGGGCTATTTTCTGTTCTCAGCAAGCCTTTGGCACCTTGGCAACTGCAGGAGCCCAGGGAGGTACCGAGGCTCACATGGCCTCATCTGTGCCCGGGCTGTGTCCTCTTCCCCTGCACATTCACACCACCCCAGCTACACACCAGAAACTGGTCCATCTCCAGGCTGGTCAGCATACTGTCAAATCCACAGCCTGAGACACTAGTTGTGATTGTCTGAAGTTTACTGCTCTTTTTGGCCAATGTTCAAGGTTGCCTGAACTGGCTGCCTCTCCATCAGCTCTTCCCCTTGCATACTTCTTGGCAAGGAAAAAACCACCATCAATTCTCTCATAGACAGAGCTCATTTACAATCTTCAGGACCAGATGGGGCCGGCACTGGTGACTGTGCTCACAACTGCTGCATTATTTCGAGGGACAATAGAGGGAGTTCTATTTCTCCCATGATTTTAAATTAATTCCATCTGGTCTGACAGCGTCAGACACCAGAAGCTTGCTCACAATGGAGCCACCAGCAGAGCTGGCTGTGGGTAGCTACAGCAGAGCTACACAAAGTAGAGAGAACACAAAGTAGAGCTACAGAAAGAGGTGGCCAAACGGCCAGTGTCAGAGAGAGCAGAGAGACACAGCTCAGCTAGCTGATTTCTCGTCTGTACAGCTTGACACAAACCCTCCCGTTGCTCTGGATCTCTGGAGGATGAGAAGAACACGGAGGAGGAAGAGGTGGGCTGCTTCCATGCTCTGGGCTCCTCCCAGGAGCAGTGTCTGGCAGTGCCTCGCTCCCTCTCTTGCAAACAGCATCAAGCCTGGCTCTCCGCATCTCTTCTGGCTCCCTTCCCGCATGAGTTGCTTTGGCCTCATCGCTGGGGAGTCACAGTTCAATTTTTCCCCTATTTAGACCAAAACTGCCTTTAGTAAAGTGACTAAACAGGAAGTGGTAGGTCAAAGCTCCATCCTTTTCAGCATTAATACAGTTAATCCTACAATGACCGGTTTCTTGTAATTCCCTGTTTCTATTGCTGCTGCTCTGTTTGGTCTCCTGAGGCAGTGAGTCAACACAGGCACCAAATATACACTGTCTCTTACGAGTTCTTGCAAGTCTGCAACTTCCTATCCATTCTGATGAGATTGGGGCAAGGGAGGACAGCTCAGGCTTTGTGGAAGAAAGAGCAGGCAAAGAAGAAAAAAATGTTGGGAAAAAGAGGAGAGAGAGAGAGAAATGGCATGTAAATCCTAGAGATCCTCTGTCTTAGTTAATTACATCCAGCATAAATTTAAACACTCTTTATAGAAAGGCTGTTCTACTTAGTGGTGCAACAAGCAGTTGCCTTACAACAGCCATATGTCCCCTCGTAAGTAGCCACTGAGTCCTACCTGTGCGGTGTGCCATTCTGGTTCTCCTGGGTCTCTTGGAGCCCTCTCCCAACCAGACATAATGCCCAAGGGCAGGCAAAGCTGGAAAGACAAAGGGGAATAATAGTGTATGACTAAGCGGAGATCGCCTGTAGCGGTGACCTGCCCTCCAGGATTTGCTTGAATGACGCATCCAGTTCTCTGCCCAATGTCAAAGCTTTTGACAAGGCTCTGTTCCTCCTGGGGTTGCCTTTGTTCCCACCCCCCTCCTCCATTGTGGGTGGTGGGTGTCCTCCTCCCTTTTGCACACTTTTTTCCCCTCTATCATTTCCCCCACAGACCCTGACATCCTGAATGGCGTTTACATGTCAGAAGCCTTGAACCCTATTTTCGTGGACAACTTTGAAAGGGATCCCACGCTGACCTGGCAGTACTTTGGTAGCTCCACTGGATTCTTCAGGCTCTACCCAGGTAGAAGAGCAGAGATCAGCTCCACTCTTTCAGCTCAGCGCAATAGTCTTGCAGGACGGGGTCCAGGCCATGGAAGAGCCCAGTCTGGGAAGGCTGAGGACAGCATGGCCCCATGATGGGCAAGGTGCAGTGAGCAAAACACTCAGTGCATTGGCTGCTGCCACTTAGGCTGAAGGAATAGTGTTCATGGCAGATATAAACCCCTTTATCCCACATGGACCAGCCCCCCAGGCATGTTGCTCTTGCAATCCCAGAGGAGTCTGCTTGCAGATGTGTGCCTCGGGCAGCCTGCCCTCCAAAAAGCTCCCAAAACACCATGGGTGGGAGGGCTCCCTGCCTCGTGCTCCCCCGTGGATTTTAGTGGCATCCACAGCCTCTCTCCATCTCTGAGGCCAGACATGGCAGAGGCAGCTGGATGCTCTAGCTCATTATCCAGCTGCCGGTTGCGAGCTGCACGTAAGGTCACGGCGCAAGAAAGAGGCCCCATGCTCGGAGGAACAATCGAGATCTTCCACGGCCGTAGCTAGTCCTGGTGGCCCCTTGCTCAGATGGCTGCGTGCCCTTGTTCTGTGACCTGTCCTGTGTTGTGGAACAGAAAAGTAGAGATGACTGTGAACAGTGCCTTTAGCAGGGAATCTGGGACACGTCCCTGTCACTGCCACTGCTTTTTTTGTGCTGTCAACCACCCCTGGGGAGAAAAAGATGTTGTTGAGAACTATGTTAAAGAGGCAGAAAGTTCAAAGTAAGTGCAATTGCTCCCCAAATTTGAACAGACTGTGCCTAGGTACGTTTTGGAATAGAAATTTAATGAACAGTTTACTGAGAACTGCCGAAGACCGTGCAGCTCTGCTTGTGTTTCTGCAGAACGGCCGCTTCTATGGCTGGCCAGACATGCGTGTCCCCACGGGGCAGCTGGGTCTCAGCAGGGAAGAGCAGAAAGGCGGGTGCCTGGGGAGCAGACGCCTGCCTGTCTGTGTGTGTTGATTGCTCCTTTTGCTCCTGCCTTCAGGAATAAAGTGGTTACCAGATGAGAACGGAGTCATCTCCTTTGACTGCAGGAATCGTGGCTGGTAAGAGTTTTGGAGAGACTTGACCAAAGCACCTTTCTGCCTGCCCCTCTCACTCTTTTCCACAGTGACACTTTGGTGAGCTGCTGATCAGCAGTTACGGCCACACTCTGCTCCTGCGAGAGACGAGGGGGGTATAAATGAAGGCAACAGCCGGTTAGGAAGCCCTACTGCCTGCCAGCACTAGCCTTCCATATGGCATCTAACATGTGCCACATGGAAATTGCCACCAGTCCATCCTTCCTCTGTCCCATCCTCCTTATAATTCTGCAGTTGGAAGGATGGAGCTGTTCAGACTCCAGAAACAGGGGGCCTTTGCTCCATCTACTCAGCATGGCTAAGGGAGGCTTCGGCAATTGTCACTCTCAGCTGAATCTGGGCATATGTCCGCAGCAGGCCCAGCACTTGCCAATGTGGGAAGAGAGATGCTGGGGCTGGCGGGAGAGGCAGGTTGGTAGGAAGGGACCCATCGGATGCCCAGTCTGACCCTGTTGGATAGCTGTGCTCGTGGTGCGTGTTATGATGCTGGCCGCAACGTGTGACAGCAGCACGCCCCACGTTCCTCCTCCCCATATGCTCACCCTGCTTCCTTGTATTCGCCTGTTTACAAAGGTACATCCAAGCAGCTACCTCTCCCAAGGACATTGTCATCATTGTGGACGTCAGTGGGAGCATGAAGGGCCTGCGGATGACCATCGCCAAACACACCATCGTCACCATTCTAGATACTCTGGGAGAGAACGACTTTGTCAACATCATTGCAGTAAGCCTGTCCCCTTTCCAGTGCTGAGTTGTCTTTCTTAAGCATTATACCAACCCTTCAGTCCCCTTAGCATTACAATGGTGTGACTACAGTGCTCAGTATCTGCATTTGACAGGGGATTTAAACTGATTACCCTTTGGAAGTTAGCTTCGTGTGGTCAGCAGGCTCCCTGGAAGATGTCAGCTGTATCTTTTTGCTTACTTAGGGATGTCACTGCAAGAGATAACAAAGTGCTGCAGAGAGACACCTGAGCTAACAGGGACCTGAGCTACTAAATTCACCTAGGATAGCACAGCATGATACTGTGTTTGGCTCCAGCAGCAGTATAATCCTCAGGATAATGTTTCCAGGCTAGAAAATTACCACCATACGCCTTTTTGTGCACCAGCATCCTGCAAGGCTGCAGTCCAGTTCGGAGTCAGCCTGCACAGGCCTGCATGGAGTTTGGTCAGGTTGTCTTGGTGTTACTCTCTCCCTCTTTAAGTCCTGGCCAGGATGAGGATGGGCTGGTTACCCACAGAGAACCAGCATCACTGACCACCGAAAGCAAAACTTTTCCATGATCCAAGCCAAGACTTGGGGATTTGTTGCCAGCTTAAAGTAAAATGGTTGCTCACCTCCTAATTTTCAGAGTTAATACAAGCACCATCTCTTTCCCCAGGTTCCTTTCTATAAAAGTTTGCCAGGCCACAGTCGCTGTGATATCAAGTCTACTTTTTGTTGATAGCTTCTTATTGTGTAAGGTGATAGAAACTCCAATGGTGACAGCTCTGTCTTTATATGGCTGGATATATGGAAGAGTGAACAGTCTTGGCAGAAAAATGGAGGGAAATCATTAAAGTTTGAAATATCATCTGTTCTTCAAAAACAATCCCAGAAAGAGCATATAATACATATTTCTTTACTGTACTCACACCCAGAACCTCCTCCTAGCTCAACACATTGCAGCCTGACCTAAGCTCCTATTGATCAGCGGAGCATCAGGGGCCTCTTAGCCATGCTTTTAGGAATTATGCTCTTCTGAACCTTGCAGGAAAAGGTTTACACTGGCATGTTTTATGGGCTTCCAGTAAACCCAGCACAAGTCAAAAATATGTGGAAATAGTTTTAGAAGCAAGGCCAGAGGCAGAAGTAATAGATTGTGGAGAAAATGTCTACAGTGTGAGCGCAAAAAAAAGTAACTTTGTATGTGTAGATATGCCCAGATAGAACTCAGCAAAACACCATAATTAAGACATTATTTAAACAAATACGAGATCTATCAAAATTATAATTTGCCACGATCACTACAAACAATTCTTAAGGGAAATATGCATTAAATGACATAATGATCCATATTGTTTTCTGAATATCCAGCTAGGACGTGGACCCCTTTTTGTGAAATTTCTCCCATTAAAACCCCTTTCTTTTCATTTTCTCCTTGCAGTACAATGATTATGTTCATTTTATCGAACCCTGTTTTAAGGGTATCCTGGTCCAAGCAGATAGAGATAACAGAGAGGTGAGTACCAAGCTCCTATCGATGTTATTTGGGTAGATCTCTTCATGTAAGCAGTACACGGGGTTAAGACCTAGCCCAGACTGCTGTGCAAAGCCAGCATGCAGAGGGTGAAGATTCTCCAGCTTTGAAACCCCACGTCCTCCGCCCTCAGAAAGGAGAAAAATCAGCTTTTTCCTGGTGAATGCGTGCTCAGCCTGGCCCAATCCTTCACCGGGGTGGACTGCCAGCGAGATTTCTCTGGTGAGGGGTTTTGTTGCTCTGATCCAGGAGGCCTCAGCAGCCCCGAGGTGGTCAGCCTGAATCCAGCTGCTCCACCACCTTCTGGGCTGACTTGTATTTTTAATCTCTTCTTACTGTTTTTTTTTTTCCCCTTCCTTTTTCTCTCTATATTAATACCACAGAGGTAGCACATCCTTCCATGTCTTCAACAACCAGATTTCTCTCTGAATTTCTTTCCCAGCTTAGCCCTGGGTCACAGAGTACGACTCCAGAGGATGATGTCTCCTGCAGTGTTTCCCAAAGGATCCCCAAGCCTTTTAGACACTGTCTTGCAGAGAGCACTCTCTGAGAGTTTCATTTACAACCAGATCGATGGCTCTTAAGTAGCAGACAAGCATCCTAATTTTTCCTTTTTCCTAATCCTGTTACTCTTGCATGCATGGGAATGTTTTTTACCTGAAGGGCTGGATAAAGGAAAGTCCAATTTCTAATAGTTTTGTCCTTTGTGTGATGTTTCATGGACTGCCAAGGGTTCACAGCCCACTGGCTGAGAAATGCAGTCCTGCTGCGGCTGCGTGGGCAAAGGTGTGACACGGTGGCACTGCCAATGGAGGGGCCGCTTGGCTTTCCCACCTCCATCCGTCACGGCGTGGCACTGCCCTGCCAGCAGTGGAGAAGGGTCAGCAGCCCAGTGGCACGGACTTTTCCAGGTGACCCTTTCCTCCTCCAGTCGAAGGCAGCACCCTGCCTGCAACTCATTCCTGCCTTTTTTCCCCCCTCTCTCCTTGCCAGCACTTCAAGCAGCTGGTGGACGAACTGCAGGCAAAGGGAGTGGGAACTGTGAACAAGGCTTTGACGGAGTCCTTCAAAATCCTGAGGGAGGTAAGAGAGGCGGTGCCAATACTTGCATCGGGCACAAGCGTCCCTGCCCGTCCCTTCTTTCCCCTCTACATCTATTGACCTAGCACATCCCTCAGGGTGCTGCAGGGGGGAGGTGGGATGAGCTGATCTCACAGGCCCCAAATTTGCGACAAGCAGCATGCTGGGGTGACATGGCTTTGGGAAGGTGTCGGTTTGTGGGTGACACCCTGGGGCTGGTGACCCTTGGGAGCCAGCAAGGCTGTGGCCTCATCAGTGTTTCCTTAACGAGCCCCACAACTGGGCATCACCCGGGCACCTTGGTTGTAGATGGTGGCAATAAAATACAACTGATCAGCTGAGGGCAACAATTCTGGTCATAAGTGATGTTATTAGTGAGCCTTGGTAAGCAGATGATGATGAAGACATGAAAGATTATTCTCAGGCTTCGGATTTATTCCAATGTCAGTTTGCTGATGTCAGTGCTTGGGGAAGAAATCACAAGTGCAGGAGCATTAATCAGTCATGATCACGTCCTGCGATAAGAATCGGAAATGATTCATTGCCTTCTGCGAACAACTGGGACTTCAGCAGCCTGGAGGTAAACATACGACTTCGCTCTGTTTGTTAAGGAATGTTACCAAAAAAAAGGATCAAGAATCAGCTGAACACCCCCACCTCCTCCTGGCATTGTCTACAGTGGGGTTGGCCTGAAGATACCAGTGCCACCTGCCAAGTGCTCGTATGCTTTAAGAGCTCTCTGAAATGTTCTCTTAGAGCTTCTTAGATCGATATCAGTAATAGGGGAGGAAAAGGGTTTCCATCCATGTGCCCTGAAACAAATCTGTGCTGCTGCAGTCATGCAGGGGGTGACTTTGGTGGAATTAGCCACCTCCTTCCCATCAGACAAAATTCACATTCTCAGCTTGCAATCGTAGCCTCACTCCTCGCAGTCTGTCCTGCTATTGTTCTCAGGAGCATACGCAAGAGAATGGAAATGAAAATTGCTACATCACACTGATGAAACAGGCTTTGCTGATTACAATAGACAACCAGTAATAATATCTGTAATGAAAGTGACTGCAAAATTTCCCTGGTAATTTTCCTCAGTCCAATTGCTCGTAGAATTAATAGCGCAGCAGAGACCTGCTCAATGAGGTATGAGTAGCAGAGAGGGGGTGAAGAAGAGCTCGATCTCTCACCGTCTTTGTTTTCCTCCATTATGTTCTGGGGTAGACAGGGCATATTGTAATCCGTGACGCAATTTGGAAAACAGCTTCAGGAGAAGAGTTAGCCAGAGCCTCCCCTGCCTCTCTCTGCCACGCTCAATAAACCACTTAAATGTTCTATTTCAATTTAGCCACACACCAAGTGGTTTCAATAAAATGTGCGTCTCGGGGAAGCCGTGGTCTTAAGCATACATTTATAAAGTGCTTCAAAATTCTCAGGCATCAAGTACTATCTTTCGAGCCCCTTTCTTGTTTGTCAAGTTTTAGTCTATCTCACTGCCATCTTCTTTGTTTCAACAAGCTTGGCACGTCTTGTCCTCTCGCCCTTTTCCTGGAGGATTTATATACCCCTTTTTGTTCTGGCTGCTGCTCTGCTCACGGCTGCTCCCAGGCTGGCTGCCTTCCCTGAAACTCCATCCTCCCAACAGTATGGAAGTGCTGCAGCTGAGAGCTATCGAGTGCTAAGCAGAGCAGAATAATTACCTTCCTTGTTTTACACACCCTAGTCCTCTTAACGCGACGTAAGGCAGCAGCTACGTTGCTTCCGACACTGTCACGTTGCTAATTCCTATCCAGCTGATCTGCCTCTGCGGTATTCCTTTCCAGCCAGTGTTCAGCCTGCTGTTTGGTGTTTGAGCTTCTGACTATCCTTTCCAACGTGCATCGATTGTAAAGATATTTATGTCTTTCAAGACATGCCAAATAGATGTGTGTACATATATACGTGTGCAAACACCCCCCATTAATCCTGAGAGTCATATGTATTCATATATTATATATGAATCTTTTATCATGGAATCATAGAATGGTTTGGGTTGATAATACAAAATCTGTGGCTCTTATGGGTCCTTCTTTCTCAGGATCCACTCAGAATAAGTAGCTATTTTGAAAGCTGATGTTTTTCTGACCCTGTGGAGGAAAAGAAACCCCAAGTTCTGCTCTCTGAGGCCACCTTGGAACGATGGCTCCTCTTAACACCAGACTCAGGCTGGTCTACTGGTGCCTTGGCTCACTGCTGAAATGAGGAATTACATAAATTTTGAGGTTAATTATGAGTAGGTCATTCCAAAATGGCTATAGGTGAGAAAAAGGGGTGAAACTGGTAACAAACCGGATTTCAGTGAGATGTAAAATTCTGTGTAACTTGAGCGAACTGGTGTCATAAAAAGAATGAACCCATCTGCCAGAGTAACCAAGGAGTTTGTGGCCTCTTATGCCCCACCTGTGTGGGGAAGAGTTTCATTTGCACACTCACAAGAGGACTGTGTTACTAGTTTTTCTAGCTACGTGCTAAATGTTTAAGGACAATTTGCCCATCTAATTTCCTCCCTTCTTGTAAGACATGTTTTGTGCTGATTCCCTCTTTGTCCTTTGGAATCTCGTATAGTCCCAGTCAGGTCTCAGCCCATGAGACAAGTAGTTTAGCAACACCTTCTGCAGTTCTTGCCCTTCCTGCT